AATAAATTTTTTGTTGTTGTTGTTGTTTGTTGTTGTTACACCTGACCCAATGCAAGACTGACCATCCTCGCAGTGAATATCTTCAATTGATATGAATTGGCACAAAATTAATTAAATACATCTCATTAATATCATATATCTTTAGTTAGTTACCTTGATTATAGCAAGTTAATGCCTGATCCAAGTTATTTTGTTCCAGGGACATCATTGCTAGCTTAACCCATTCCTCCAAATCTCCAGATTTGCTGAGATATGCAGCAATGAGGAAAAACTGTCATAAATAAAACATTTTCTATCATTTGATCCTTTCCACCCTAACATCAGTATGCATATTCTCCATACTGTTCTCTATACATTTCCTAAGGTGCTAACAAGGAGAATTTGTTTAACAATCAAGAGCTCCTTAAGTAGGTCATAATTTCTTCATTTTTACGACCTTAATGTGTGATTCAGGGTGACCTTGTAAGGAGACATTAGATGTTAGTCAATCTTTTCAATGAGAAAAGATCAGTAAAAGGCTTATGACTGAGGAATCTATTTAATCAGAGACTGGTTCTTTCCATCAAATCACAGAACAGCAAAAACCACTACCAGTACTACCTGCAATGCTTTCTCTTGGTCTCCCTGTTCTTCATACATCATTCCTAAGGTCTGGAAAGGTTCTGAACACTTTGGAACTGAAAATTGTTATTCAGATCACAACATTGGCTTAGGAAAACATGAAAGGAGTGTTACCGGTACGTGTAATTTTGTGTCAGTTAAAGTACAGCTAAATAATGAAATGAAATAATGCATAAGCTTGAGTCACAGTGATAAAAGGTCTCCTACACTGGTATTCTTTAGGATAAAACCCACATGTGTGTTGCATGACATTAAAAAGCATGGCTTAGAAGGTCCCTAGTAAGTGACAAACTATGAGCAATTACAAAATGAGCTTTATCAAAGGAAAATTTTAGCACACTTCATCAAAGCTTTGCAAGTTGCAAGAAAAGTATCTTAAAGATGCCACACAAAAAATTTCTTGCTTCACAACTATAATATACTGGTACTTAATATTTGTAATTTCCAATTTTCCACTTAATTGACAGAGTACCTTGTCGAATTAGCTCCATACAGATTCCTTTAGCCTTCTCGATTTCTCCTCTTGCCCACAGAATATTAGCTTGACCCATGGTTTTTTTTAATTTTGGAGGTAACTCATACAATTTACGACGTCCAGCTCTTCGCCGCTTTTGGACAGGAATCTCCTCCATGAATTCATCAACACCAGTGCCGCCATGTTTCTTAGCACTTTTTGCAGCAGCTCCTTGAAGCAAAAGATCTGTCATTCTCACTGATGGTTGGGATGCCGTCTGTAACTGCATATTGGGTAAACCTTTATCTGGGGCACCATCTAAAACCTGATGCTGTTCACTTGGGAGACCTGTGGTTGGTTCTACTGTGGATCCAATTTCTGCCAACTTAGCAAACATAGGCTCTGATACAAGAACAGTGATCGTCTCTGAAAAAAAAAAAACCAGGCATGCTGCTTTGTGTAGTATATGAGGTACCTTACAGAAGGTCAATCGTCATCACCTGACTTGAGGTTTTGCAGTACTTCATTAAACTATAGCCTCAAGGTAAACTTCTGTTTTCACCCTTGTTTTCTGTCATCAAACAACAGCATGTAAGATATGGAGGAAGTGTGGGATTATGAGGAAATCTTGTCTCTAACTCCTTGGTACCTTCAACATGGACTCCTATGGACTAAGAGCAGTCCCTCCTTTTCTGAAAAATCAGCTGCAGAAGTGGAAAAAAAAATCCATGAAAAAAAATTGATTATAGCATGCTGCAAGAAGCTCTACTTTTGAGCCTCCTGTGGTGTGCTAGTGTCAACGTTTTTATGGATTTTTTTCTACTTGTGCAGGGCATAAGTTGATGGAGGTGGGAAAGGGGCCTAGGTGCTATGGCCTCGGTGCTATGGCCTCATTGATTGCAATTTCCCAACCCGCGCCACCCCTCACCCCACCCCACTAGGTCTGCCCATGATCATGAGGAGCATGGGATGGTTGACAATTTCTCTCTGAAGGGTCATCAAAAAGAGACTGTTATTATCAATAATCAACAAAAATTAAAGCAAAATAACTTACCAGTAGGTTCGCTTTTGTATTCACTCTCCACTGCTTGTATTTGGCTTTCTTCCCCTCGTCCGACCTCCTCGCCATCTTGAAGGCCAATGTCCTCCGTTTCTGCCTCGCACGATCCACCTCCACCTGTTTCGATCCACTGCTCAAAGCTTATTTCTCCGCGGACATATTTCATTAGAGCAGTGATCCGTTCGTCTTCCATATTAGTTGAGAAGATCAGCGTAAGCTGTCCAGTAATTCACTTACTTGCACTTAAAACGTCCGCCATCTTTGGCCTAGATACCAAGCCTGTTATCCGGGAGTTCATTTTCAACCTAGAGGCATATGGGATAGCATGTATCACCTGCTTCGAACAAAGTTTTTCTTTGGATATTTTCTCATGAATTACCTGCATTTCACTTCTAAATGACGCGAGTTTACGTAGGAAATCTGGGAAGTAGGGGTTCCAGGCGGGAACTAGAACGCGAGTTTGAGAGATTCGGGCCTCTTCGCGACGTATGGGTCGCCCGCAACCCTCCAGGTTTTGCGTTCATTCTGTATGAAGACTCACGCGATGCCGATGACGCGATCCATGAAATGGATGGAAAGTTAGTATGCGGAGAACGGATTCGTGTTGAGCTTGCTCGAGGTCCAAGCCGTGGCGGAAGAGCTACACGGCTTGGATTGACAGAGAAATGCTTTGATTGTGGAAGGATTGGACATTACGCTCGTGCTTGTACACGTCGACCGGCGGGAGGAAGTCGAGACCGCGATCGAGAGCGGCGAAGATCAAGATCACGCAGTCCACGGTAAGTTTACACTCACATGAGGTTGTTTGTTCATCCTTGAGGTAATCGAAATCTTGTACCATATCACTCTTAGTGCATGAGGAAAAATCGGACTAAAGAGTAACTTCTATACTGAAGCGAAGGCAACTGTGGTCAAACTTATTGAGCTTCTTTCATTTTCCATCTCTGATCGTCGTACAATACATTTTGTTTCCCTGAACATAGAGCTGATTTCGAGGAAGTCCTTTGTGAATTTTTTTCCAAGTGTAACCCCACAAAAAAACCCCAAAGATTGGTATACCCAAAGAGTTAAACTTATTAATATGTTTATGATACCTTTACCCTTGTTATTTTATGTTTTTCGTTTTCATGTAATCAAATGCATCAAATGTCAAAACAGTTGTAGATGGTATGTGACAAGTTGGGTGTATTCTCCCGCAAGACACTGTTAACTAATAATACAGAGTTTTGTTTCATATATCAGGATTTTATAAATATTGCGTCAGTTGTGAAATCAACTGGCAAGCGGTGTGTGCGTCGCCTACACCTTCAGAGGTGATTCTACCCACCCTGAGTGTGCTTCTTCTACTCTACTCTCCCCTGCGGCGTCCACGAGCATCATGCTTTCAACCATCTTCTCCGACTGCAAGCATAATGCTTTTAGCTTCTCTACCCACGAACGTGCACGGTTAAACAAATCACTTCCCTTGTGACAGACTAAGTGCGCACTTCACAGCGTCACTTCTGTCACTTTTGTCAGTGAGTAAGTACCAATTTTTCCACAGTAGCATCTGTCATTCATCTCAATCTGTAAATTGCAGTTTGAAAAGAAAAAAAATCCTGAAAAATGCAGATTGTCTAAAATCTGTAGTCTAAGCAATAGGTAACAATTTAAAATCAATTTTTATTAATATTTAACCCCTTGACACCCAAGAGTGACTAGCATCTAATTTCTCCTTATAATATCACCCCTGAATCAAACATTTAAGGTCAGGAGAGTATAGCAAATGATCATGAACTAAACAAGCTCTTCTCAGCATCGTATGAAATGTAAAGAGAACATTGTAGAGAACATGCTTGCTGATTTTATGGTAAAAGGTATAAACTTAAGGTAATTCTTGTGATATTGATGCCTTCCAAAACCAGAGGCTTATCTCTCCGATGCATCAAACTTGCATTAACCAATCTCTTTGTTTTTTTTTGTGACCTAAATAGTTTTCTTCAATGCCTATTCTTCCAACTGAATATTAAATTTTGTGTGAAAATTTTGCCTCAGGATTCAGGACTTGCAGGGTCCAGGACTTGCAGGGTCCAAAATTAACTTTTTCATGTGGGTGCCTAGTGGCCCTGAAACTTTGTTTTTCTTCATGAATGAGGAATTGTCAGTTGAGTGTTTAAGAGCACAATGAAAGAAAATGGCAAGTGTATTATTTCTTGATATTAGTTTGCATGATGAGCATTTTCAAGAATTCAGTTATTTGCCTGTTGGCAATAAGCATTGAAATTTTGGTTGCCAATAGCCAATTTTTTGCATTGTTTACCAGCTGGTTGCAATTTCGGACCCTGCTTTACATGATAAAAGAAACAGAAAAAGATTAATTTACAAACTTCGTCCTTGCATTACCTTTAAAATTAATTAGATTGTGTGATCCTTCACCTTTAGTTGGAGGTTGTCTCTAACATGATGTTTATTTTAACTTCAGATATTTTGATTTTGGTAAATGTGAAGGTTTTCCACCTTTAAGTTTTTGCTAAATTTAGGCTTTTTTTCTTCAGCTTTAATTTTTTTCAGTCCTTGCAGTTTAAAATTCAATAGTCGTAAAAACTTTTTAGTTTATATCAATTACCCGTTTGTGCTCATGAAATGTGATGCTAAGTTGAAAAGTTAGGAGATTATTCATTCCGGAGGCAGGAATTTTTTCTTTAAAATGTAATCTGATCTTTCTTGCGTTTTAAATGAGGTTACCTTACATCTGCAATGCATTTCTCTCTGACTAATAGTTAGAAAAATAACAGCTTTAACATATAGTTGATCATAACTTTTTTAAGTTTTCTTTTGAGTGCTTGAATTTGGGTGAAGCATAATAAATACTCTTGAAAAAAGCATGAATTTTTTTTGTGTTGTCAGAGTTGCATCAAATAAAAATACAATGAAATTTTGTTAAATGAATTAGACAAAATGTTTTTCCCCCTAAAAAGACATGTTTGTGTAAGGTGACACATTAAAGTTGTTGTTAATGCAAGAAACATTGATTTTACAAGGGATATGAAGTGTTTTCTTTTTTCAATAGAAATACACTGTAAGTATGACTTATAAATGTTTAAATGTCTCTTTTCTCTAAATAAGACTAAATCTGGAACCATCTGGAAAAATGTGAGATCCAGGAATCACAATAGCTAAGAGAAATTGTTTTCTTTTATGTTGTAAATATTTCTGGTTTTCATTGACCTCTAATTTATTTTTCTCTGGAAGCTCAATTTTTTTTATTAATTTATACCTTGAAAATGGACAATTGAATGATTAGCTAACTATGTTGCAAATATTTTTGTTTAGATCCCGCTCTCGTTCCCCCAAACGAAGACGCAGTTTCAGTCGTTCTCTGTCTCCAAGGTCAGATAAGTTTGTTTAGCAGAAAGCACATTTTTACCCTTGTTTTCTTAATCTGTACAGTTAGTTGTAGAATGCTGTTTTAATCTGGTTGCATTTGTGACTTCACACTTGAGTGCAAAAAGCTCAGTCTTCAACTTGTACAGTATGGACCTCAAACTCAATGGTGGTGCCATCACTCCATCTTCATTTTTTCCCCATGTTTCAGGAGGAGAGGCTCTGGATCAAATGAGGACAGAAAATCAAAATCTCGCTCAAAGTCTCGCAGCAAGAGCCGTTCACAAAGTCCAAGCAAAGAGAAAACCAATAGAGAAAGGTATGGAAGAATCCTCGCTACAAAACTTTTTTGTGTTGTACAGCAGCCCCCACTTGTTTGAAGGGGGGTTAACACTATTTAGTCGATAAATCTCAATCCAGTGGATGGAAAATTACAATTTTTTTTTCACACTTATCCACAGGATAGCAATTCATCCTGTCTGGATGTTGGGTAGCATTATCTACTCCCTGAACAACTGGGCCCAGAGTGTTAAATTGTGTTAAACAGTGATCTAGGTTTGAAGAGTTACTATGCAAATTAGAAAGTCTTCTTTCTCAGGTAAACTTGTTCAGGGCTAGAGAAGTTATTGGGTTGTTTTTGATTTTTAGAAGTACTAGTCCTGGTCCTGACAGAAATCAAGAGCAAGAGAAAGAAGACTGTAATGGAAGGGAAGAAACAGGGAAACAAGTTGAAGAGGACAAACCAGGGGCAGAGGAGATGGAGCAAAAGTCTCGCAGTGTCTCACCTGCACTAAATGACAATGATAGCCACCGTAATGATGACAATGATGAATAACTTGTGGCTTCTCTTGCTTGCAGTGTGCACCAATTATTTCAGTCTTTGTAGAGTTTCTTATGTATATGTAGTCTGTAGCTTCTAAACAAGAAATTGCAGAAAGGTTCAGCAGCAGCTATGGTTTTTCTAGTCTGGATTAGCCAGTCATTGAATGTAAAAGGGGTTTCGGGTTCAAAATGTACCTGTGCGATTAGGAGTGGCACAAGTGGGTCCATGTTTTGAGAGAAAGCGAGGCAGGTCCCTTTGTCACCTTAGATAGATAGTTAATTTAAGGCTAGCATGCTGTTGTTTCAGGAACCTACCCATTTGAAACTCTGGATTGTCCAAATGGGTTTAGTCAATTGTGTCAAAAATCATTTTATTATTATTAGTAGTTGTAGTAGTAGTAGTGATATTTCTTTACTATTATTATTATTATTATTATTGCTATTATTAATTCCTTAATGCAAGTGAAGTCAAACTAGAGGATCAAACAGGTTACCTTAATTTTCTGTGGGATATTTTTCTCTTGGCCCTTGGTTGAGTTACATTTTTCAGACGTGACTGGGGAAAAACTTTCTACATTAGTCTGTTTTGCTGTTCAATTTGTTGAATTTTGAGGAAATTCTTTTTTGATGTCATTGGGAGCTTATTACTGTTAAGTAATACCTGGGTTTGCTTCAATTGCTTGCATGTGCCTTTGTAACAGTTCATTCTTTCATCCATAATTACTTATTAAGTGAAATGGATTCTTTTGGTTCCATTGCAAGTTACCAGCTTCTCAGACACTTACAATTTTGAAGGAATGCAATTTTTTTCTCATTACCTGTACAGTATTTATCATCTTTTAACAGCAAATTTGAGGAATCAAAATAGTGCTTTCAGTGAAGTTTTTTTATTTCAGTAAGATCTTAATTTTTCTTTCTTTTTTCGCTTTCTTACTGTTTAAGATTATGTTTACAATTACGTCAGTTATTGACTAGTTCTGTAACATCATAAAGCAGTATCAGATTTCATACTCTCCATATAGTTCTCCATATATTTCCTTTGGTACAGACCTGGAGAATTTGTTTAACAATCAAGTTCTTTCTTTGATGATCATTTCTTTTATTTTCATCACCTTAATTAAAAAATTTAGCTGTGATACAGTAAGGAGGATTTGCCTTCAGTTCAAACACCCTAGTTCGCTATGTGAATAAATGACTTCATTTGCAGCAAACGCGTTGTTGTCAAGAGATTGTCATTTTTAAAATTGATAGAATCAATGAACCCTTAACGCGCAGAGGGCGAGGACAGCTTGATTACAACACGGTTTTCTTTGTCCGCGCCGCGTGTGTCTCACCGGGAACGTCACAAACTTAGAACCTTCTTCGAGCCGCCATGTTTGATTTGAGGCGAGATACTTGGGGTAGTTCTTGCTCTCGCCTGTCAAACAGTCCCCCACCCCCTCAGTTCGAAAAAAAGAGGACAACACAGGTTATTTTAGGAAATGTGAATTTCCGTGGTTGGATTTTTCCGCCGATTGTTTTCTTCCGTAGCTGTACATTAAAGTGTACTATTTGCCTATTTTCGATAAACTAAAGACTAAAATTGTTTCCAGTCCCCACTTAATGCAAAGACACGCTATTAGTCGTGGAATTTGGGGTATATATCCATGGAGCAGTAACCAAATACTTATTCCATGTACTACAGAAAGCTAAATATCTCTAATTGACAAGCTTTGCAATCACGAGATTTGGATTGAGAAGGAAGAGAGAGGACCCTGGAAACGAGCTTGTAAACGCACGATTTACGTCAAATTCAGTGCTACTTTACAACTGACAGAAACTGAAATCATGACAGATGTATACTTGAAAGTATCTGGAACGATTTTAGGGTCAGGTTGGAATAAAATATGAGCTGTTTTCCATTAAATTATTGTCGCAGTGGGTAGTCGGTTGAGTGAGCCGTTGCGATAAGCGTAACAAACGTATTTTACTATTTCTTTCATAGTCAGTTTAGTCGATTATTCAATTTGATCTATTATGACCACCACCACCACAGCTTCGTTACAAGCTAGGCATTGGTTAATATCTTAGAAATAATATTCCTTGGAAACCGAAATTCCCAAAAATGTATATCACTCTTAGAGGGTTTACAAAAAGAAGACTTGTAAACCCGGTAAACCCAGTAAACCCGACGCTTATCGGGAGATTTGATTCTATTCACTCACTGAGATGGCTGCCACGAAGGAAGACGAAAAATCCAAAAAGCTCAACGCATTATTCGAGTCTATGGGGCAGCAATGGCAAGAAGCGCATCAGGTACTGAAGGAAGAGAAAGCCAATTACACTCGTCTTTTAGATCACATGTCGGAAGTTTTAAGCAAAGTTAATTCGGATAGTCAAATCACACTTCGTCCTTATGGAAGCGCGGTTGAAGGTTTAAAGTGTCTGGAACTCAAAGATATTGGCGATGTAGACATCATGGCCTTTCCGACCTCTGACAACCTCGTCATTCCTGAGGATTTTCTCGAATATTCGCCTGACAATCCACTGCATGTGAGAATCAAAGTTGGCGACCACCCCGTATTTAAGTCCTGTCTTGCGGACGGTACACAATACCTGGCCACCTTGGCCATAAAAAAGTTCCACCCTAAAATTTATGGGAGTTTACTGCCTGATTTAGTAGACCGTTTGACGCGCATATTTTCCGCAATGCCTCTTGGGAAGCTTTCCGTGGAACACGTCAACACCTGCCTCAAGAACAAAACCTCGAGTCCTGCCGTCACTATCAATTTTTCTCGGAAGTTTGGGACTATTTTCAACGAGTATACAACCTCCGATATCCAAGATAATTTGTCTCCGAAAAGGTCTCTAAGGGCAGCGGACTGGGATTTGATGGCTCATGTAATGTGCATGGGAAAAGGAGTCGACTACACAAGGAAACACGCCGAAGTAGTGAGTGACTTTGTGCAATTTATAAGTGATTTGGTAAAAGCAGTGCAAAGGAGTGGTCTGCCTCTTCCCGCCGTTTTTCAAGAGCTCCATTTGAGCAATAGAGCAGAAGAGCTTACAACTAGATTTCGAGAGATAGAAGGTCCATCGCTAGGTGAGAAGGTGGGTTTTATCTGGCAGGTCCCTGCTGAAGAAAGCAAAGAAGAACAATTTGTTTCTCCACAACAGAGTCAAGATAGTGTCTACGGAACCTCAAGTGCCATGTTGCATAATAACTATGAGGGTCGACGCTTAAGTGGAGAAGTCTCCTTTACAACGAGCCATTCCACATCAGATAAACGTCAGGTTATACCTGTGCAAGAAACTGAAAGGAAAGATTTGGACTCCACCGGCAAAAATCTGAGAGAAAAGCGCAATGAGGCGAAGGAAACTCAGGCATCAGAGAAAGAGAAGACCTTTGAAGCAGAGTCTCAATCGACCGAGCCTCTAGGGAGACTATATAATGACTGGCTTCAACATTTGCTCTTACAAGAGACGGACGAAACGACAAGAAATGCCCCAACTGAGACGGAATCATCCAACGGCATTAGAAGAACGAAGTCCTATCATCAGGCATCCGGAAGTGATTTTGTTCCCGCTTTGCGATCCTGTGGATGGCCGAAGGTTGCTGAAGATTGGTTCCAACAAGGGCGCAAATGGCCTTCCTCAGACATGGTGGACAGGGTTCTTCAGGAAGGAGTCCATTTGGTGGTGAAGCCACCAAAGAACAATGGAAATCCTGATTGCGACTTTAGAATCTCCTTTTCTCATGCAGAATACCTCCTGAGCCAAGAGATGAACGACATCCAACGGGAGTGCTACCGTTGTCTAAAGAAAATTCACCGTGCTTATCTTTCCAGTCCGGAAGGTTTGGAATCATTCCATCTCAAGAACCTCTTTTTGCAAACAATAGAGGAGACGGGGGCGGAGATGTGGACCGAGCAAAGGAGGGCCGAGTGTATGATGAAACTCCTCGGCAAGCTGTTGAAAGCTTTGAAAGACAAGGACTTACGACATTTCTTCGTGAGATCATACAACCTGTTTGGAGTGGACTACATTCAAGACCCAAAGATTCTCGAGCCCCTGGCCGAGATGGTTAAGAAGATCATGGAAAATCCTGAGGAATTTGCAACGGAAGTAATTAAGAATGGAGAAGAAGAACTGAGGAAAGCATGCAGTTCGTTGGAGAAAAACCACCAACAGTTTGATGATGATGCAACAGAACATCCACACAAGAACAACAATCACAACGAGAGCAAGGAAGCTACTTATGGCGCGAGTGCGGAATATCGATACCATGACCTGAAAGATATCTACCTGAAGATAAGTGAAGAGATGATAAAAATCGCTTACAACGATACTGATTCCAATCTTGAAGCCTTGGAGCCCCTTGAGAGGTCCATCGTGGAACGCTTGAAAGAAATTAGGCAGAATTACTCTAATATCGATGCTAAAGACGTTCTCAACGTATTCGACTTCTTCTGGAACTTGACCTATTTTAAGGTTTGGATGAGCTCGGAGCCTGACATGAGGCGTCGTATGCTTGATGCAATTCATGGTGATGTTGAACTATGGAAGGTCACGATGAAGGGCAAAGAAGACTTCCCATCATCAGGGGATACGGCAGCTTCTCTAGCAACGATGCAGGATCTCTCTGCCAACCATTTCTTGAGCTATAGGAATTTCTTGCCAGCTGGAACAGTGATACAGTGCTTTCGTAAATTTATTGCCAACAACCTTACACAAATTACGCAACAAGCGGTTGATATAGATGAGCTTTCATTGGACTAACTTAGCGCTACATAGAAAGCTTCTATAACTGAAACAGTAACTTCATTCTACTGTGGAATGTTGGTTATTTCCGCATATTTGCCAAAATTGCATTTTGTTTTCACTAAGCGACTTACCCAGGGTTAGCTTACGCTCTTAAGTGAACAGCCAGCTTAGAAACGGTGCTTAGGTAATATACCTAGGAATGTCCTTAGAATTGGAATTATCTCACTACTAAACACGATTTTTGTGTGGGATACTTGTGGTATCCCACTCTGTTGTTATCGGCTCGTGTCCGTCATCACAAATGATTGTATCCCACACACCTCAGTACTCTCTGTAGACATGATAAATTTTTCTTTTCAGCGAATCGAAACCAGAGGAAAGCACCATGTAGAGGGCCAATTTATCTTTATTTCATAATTTATAAGTTCAAAATAATATTATCATCAGATTTATTTTTTCTTTTTCTTGCCGCTTTTGAGTATGTCAAGTCCACTGATGTACCTCTTAGGGATCTTGTATTCATCTAAAAAAAGAGTGGAATATAAACTTCAAGTTCGTCAGAAAATTCTGTCTAGCTTTTTGCTCTCCAAATACATTCTGCGTTTTCCAGAGAATATTCTCAAGAAAAACCGCAATTCTGCCGATATAATCCACTGTTCTAGTTGGCAGAATCTAGTTCTAAGATAGGAATACCTTTTGTAGAGCACTTTCTTTTCTTATATCCCACGCACATTTGCTGGACTACAAGAATAAAGCTAGATTTCTCTTCTGTTATATTTATAATCAAACACTAACCTAGGAGAAATTTCGCCACAATGGCCACTTGGTTTCCCTGCACTAAAACCTGCAATCCGGGCGCAGTATGTTTTCCCGGAAGCTGAGAAACTTAAAGGAAAGAAGAAAGTGTTACAAGCACGAGATGTGAGAATAATTTATATTGCCACTGTAGACACTCCAGAATCAAAAGGTAGCAAAAATGACCCACTATACAAAGACACTATATTACCTGAAGTACTACATGCAGCCTTAATTTGCACATTATGTGCAAATTCTTGAGGATCGATCCCGTAGGACTCAAGATTGCGGATCAACGTGACCTACAATCAAAATAAATAGCTGTTATCATGATTCAAGCCATATTAAACTTTCTAGGCAAAAGCAAGATTGCAACAGAATTCTGATACAACACTGGGATGCCTTTCTACAAGAGTGTTGCACAATTCTTGTATTCTCTCACTAAATTCTACCGCGCGAACGAGCGATTGGGGATCTCCCTGCGGGAGAAGTCCAGACTTATAACATCTTGAATTTGCAAGCGGGTTTTTGAGTGGGATGCTAGAAGTGTTTATTTGATTAATAATTTTGAAAGGTATCTGATGAGTCTTTGACCGAGAGAAACCATGAACTATTCTCTTTAATTTGACAATTCTTCTATTGGATACCTTTTTGTTACCCATTCGTTGTTCCACTTTAATTTCGATGGAATCGATTTTTCCTTTCCTGTTTGAATAAAAATAAAAAAGCTAGGACTAAATCTCTGACTGACGAACCAAGTGACCCACGACACCCAAGCTTTTCCCTTGTTTCCATAGCATGGGGCATCAATCGTTGGTCTTCAATTGCACTCACGGCTTGAGAGAGCCGGGCACAATGAGAATATAGTGTTTAGCATGATCTTCATCAACCACTCCTCATTTTGAAATCGGCTGCAGTGGAGACTGGAAACATGGTACAAAGGAATGTATTTTATATGAAGACAAAATCTTGTCATTACAAATTCAACGTAAATGAGAGGCCACCATACCCCCATTAAGGGAGAATGTTCGGAAAAGGGTATTGCCGAATATAAATGACTGGATAACTAAAACGAGCAATATTTGAGTATGTCCATGAAGGCTTCTCAGTCTTGTGTATTGACCCGATACGCTGCCTAGGGAAGAACATAAGCTCCATATAAATCTGGCTACAAAGAATACCTTACGATCGGCTCCTGGCCTGGAAGTGTTATTCGATGACAGTTATTCATTTTCGACGACACTCTGTAGAGGTAAAAAAAAGAACAACTAGCACATCGAGCTTCAATAAGGCTACCTTGGATTCCACTTTGACATGAAAAATGAAAACAGCGTTATTATGGAACACCAACTCACAACGCAAACACAAGATTCTTGTACCTTTCGAAGAGTCGATCCCACGGGAGAACTTCGATATCCTCATGTTTGTTTAAGAGGATTTTAGTCAAGCTGGGATCTAGCAAAACCATTCTGAGAGGGGAAAACAAATCATGAAATTAAAAGTAACGATGGCAATTGAGAATTTGCCGACCAGACATCGAATAACTATTGCACAGAGAATTTTTAAAGACGTTATGTAAGTGTTCAAGGTTGGCAATTTCCAACCCTTGTATTCCACTTTCCGTGCAAAGCTTCATACAGTTACACGAGACGATTCTAGTATGTTAGGCTTATCGCACTCCGTAAACTCTTTCTTTCTATAAGTATTTAGTCAAGCTAACATTGGTGCGTGTGCGAATTTTGACCGATAATCACGCCTTATTTGACCCATACAACCTTTGAATGTTTTTAAAAAAAAAATCGCCCGCCGGCGAGTTTACACCCCAAAAATGTGAACATTGAAATCTACATCAGTTAACTTTGTTCAGGTTATTACCCCAGAAATTTTGTACAGTTTGTTTTTAAGACCACACTGGTACAGAGAATGCTGCCTTACGCATTTTATTTGTGCTATCCTTTTATTCTAAATGGGGGAGGGGTGGGGGTCACTTTCGTTTCATATGGACACTGTTTCTGCTCCTGTGGTACATACCTTTTGTCCTCATTCGACACAAGGTCGTGAGCTTTCACGTAATTCGTCATGGTCGACCGGACACCAGCATGGTTTATAATATCATTTTTCCTAAAACAAAAAGTTGTGTGGAAACATCAAATACCAGATACTTTGCCGACACAAATAAGTAAATTTTAAAGACCTTCTTTCAGTGGGTTTGTCACGTTCATGGAAAAATGCTGAGGAAGATCTACTGGATTTCTACCTGCTATTGTCCTTAAACTTGTCGCGCAAAGCTGCAGACAGGTCGTGATGGGTAAACCGTGTTAATAAGAGTGACATGACAAAACATTCGTAGAAACTAAGCCAGTGTGAGCCCTTAGAACCGATACAAACACAGTACGCCAATGGTTTTCCTACCTTGTTATTACTTGAATGTAGCTAGTTGTTCTATGTCTTACCTGAATCCAAATTCGGAAAATATCGGTAACAATGCTGCAGATACAGAGAACAGCTCCTCTATACATGGAGGCTAAAGAAACAGTATTGTGATCAGGGAAAGGAACAGTTCTGTCTGTTGCGTCACAAGCAACTTTTAATTGAATTCCGGAAACATTTCAAAATTACACTGGTTTTCCTTTACTTCGCCTTGTGATTGGTCTAGAAAACTTGCGCCTGCCTCTCGACCAATCAGATGTAAAGCTAAAAAGAATCGCGACTTTATAGTCACCCGCGTTCTCCCGCGCTTCAATCAGTTTGCTGGTTTTCACTTTGAGTCCTGATTGGCTACTGATGATGTTAATCTTTGTTCCGATTGGTCAATAGGATAACTTTGGTTTTGCTGTTTTCGACACTGAATTAAGGTGGCTGAACACAGTTTTCTCGCGCGCTTTTCCTGATGCAATTCAGCGCGCGCGCAAAGATTGCAAAAAACAAACTTACCGTCAATAGAGCGGTCGTTTTAATTTACTCAACAAGTATCCGCACTATCTGTGCTACTTTTCTCCATAGTTAGCGCAGTGTATTGAGGGCTTTAATTTTTCATTACAACGAGATGTTAGAAAGTTAACGGTGCAAAGAACCCAGCAATTCTCAGCTTTTTCATCGTCACCGAGAGAACCCAGTTAAATGCAGCGCATGCGTTGTAAGTAAAAAGTTGCGATTGAATGGAAAATTGTTTTCTCGGAAATATGAGGTTTTACATGGCAGCCATGTTGCATGGCAGGAACAATGAAAATATTTTGCATCAGAAAGAAAATTCTTTCCCATGGGAAAATAATATATTGTTCCTGCCATGCAACATGGCTGCTGTGCAAAATCTCTATTTCTTGAGAACCCCTCATTAGAATTTCACGAAATTTGGCACGAAAATACTTTAGGAATTAAGTGACTGGAGTATCGTAAAAACTTGATTTTTATCGAACGAAATTCTAGATAATCGAGTGAACCTTCAACAAGGGATAATTAAAGATCTCTGTTAAATTGTCAGCAAAATGGTGTTAACTTGTGAGTATCGTTACAAGCTCGTTGCACGCAAATTATAAAGAAAAACTAATGACTAGATTTTGTATAAATGAACAAAACCGATTTTAAAGGCCTGTTTATACTTATTCATGTCGCCATGACAACGGCACATCCGTCAGCTTAACTATCGAAAAAACAAAGTTTGTGTTATTAACTTGCTTGCTGCCAGTTTTGGCGACCGAGAGATCAAGGGTTTTAGAGAAAATGGTGAAAGAAACACAGGTATCAAAAACTGTGTTCAGCCACCTTAATACTGCTCAAATATAAACAGCAACTAAAACTAGGATTTACGAGGATTGAAAAACACTGGCCCCACAATGAACAAAAAGACTTTCGGTGGCGTACTTCTCTCGCGTTTCCAGTGACATGTAGCTTGAATACCTAAATCTACCTAAGTCTATTAGATTACTTCACAGACTGAGATGAGAATTCTGTAAAACTATATAAACACAGATAAGACAAACCTCTGCGCTGCAAGACGGAGAGCTCGTTTCAGCGCTGACACTGTCAACAGCTGGCGCATTTGCTTTGAAATCCTTCAGCCTGTTCATAAGAATGTGCAGTATTAAAATCACGCAGAGAAAAACATTCTAAAAAAAAGTTGACGAGCAATAGAATTTATATCTCCGTCACATTTTTTAGAGTCGATTAAACAAACCAAAAACCTTGAGATCGTAGATAATCTTATTAAAAATTCACGTCGTACATTTTGTGTGGTCTCCCAAGGGTGCAATTGAATTTTTGGTTTACATCACTTTTAAATCTGTTGTTAAATTTGTTTTATTTAAGCTTTTGTTGCATTCTTCATCGTCGTTGTCATTATCATGAATGTCGTTATTGATGATGTTGTCGTTGATTTTGTTTTTGTTAAAGATGCTGATTTGTTGTCGTTTGATGTTCACGATGTCGTCGTTGTTGTTGTTGTTGTAGTTGATTTGGCCATTGGTGATGTCGTTGTTGCTGTTGCTGTTGATGATATTGTTTTTTATGGTGTTAATGTTGAAGACGTTGTCATTGATTTAGTTATTGTTGATGTTGTTGTTGTTTTCGTTGATTTTGTTACATGTACTGTTGATTGTTGTTGTTATTTTTTTATTTACTACTCACTCTGGATGGTCCCAAGCTATTCTGGTGATATGATCGACTCCTTTGGACGCCTCTTGTAGCGATATCAAACCTCTCTCTTGCATGCACTGAAGGAATTTCGACAGCTGAAAAACACGTCGAAGAAGAGCTCAAATTGGCGTTTTAACCCCGCCCACTCTAGCAAGCAGTTGAAGATAAACTTGTTAGTATTTTCCGTTGAACAAGGGGTGACTTTAAGGTTAGTATAATTACCATAGTCTTATGTTCATGGCTTGTACGTCGTAATTTTTGCCATAAACTTGGCGATTTTTTCCAACAAACTATCTAAAATCGTTTGGTTGATATACAAGTCGTCATATTTCGTATTCCTGATTAAAGGTTTAGCTGCGTAAAGAGTTTTGCGTCATCCTCGCTACAGTATCGTCCAAGCCAAAAACATCGGTGCTTTCTCAGCTTACAAAATCTTCCAAACTTACTTTTTTGTACGAGGATTTCTTGATATCAACTGACTTCCCCTCTGGGCTACAAACAAGGTTAAAAGACGATTATTTACAACTTAAACAAATAGTAAACATAAGACTGGTATTTAATGACATTTCTATCGTCCGGCAACTTGACATAGAAAAACTAAATCTTAGGTGTACGATTTCTAAACGGAAGAGTTACTTGAGCTTAACTTGTAAATGATCACTCATTTATGCAAATAACCCCTAAGTACTAACCAGGAAGGCAAAAGATAACTCCTGGAAAATGTACTGGTCAACACAGGAAGTTCTACTTTCTTCATTCTCATCAAGGAACAAAAGAAACAGTATTCTAAAAGATCATCCATATTTTCTGAAATAAAAAACAAACAACAAACAAACAAAAACAAAAAATGACTTGTTAGCAAACACAAGAAAATTGGTAAAGGGATTGTAACTCAGCTCATCATTAGAAAAATGGTGGAAAGCCTGTACTGTTTAGGGAACAATACATCTGAGAATTTCCAAATACTTCTTCATACATGTGCACTAGTCTATGTACCTTGCTTTTGGGTTTATCATTGCTGTGCTAAGAGATCACTGCTTTCAAATATGACGACTGACTTATTTACTGTTCAAAAGCTATTTTCATTTCAGCATGTTTCCAACCAATACCATAACTCCATCATTCTGTTTCAGGGCTCCACACTAACTTTTCAACTTATTAGCCAAGCGGCTGGTGACATCTTAGATGCTATGACAATGTTAGTTCATTTACTAGCCAAACTGGCAAGTGGAAATCGAAAACCACTAGCCAAAACTACATTTCTACTAGTCTGTGGCTATTGGGCTACCGTTAGTGTGGAGCCCTGTGTTTGTACCACCAAACCACACAAAACCTACAATTTCTCTAATCACTCTGACGTAGAACTAAAGCTTGAAACATCAGCTTTACGAACTCTCTGCAGCGGTCAGTTTACATTTATCAACTCAGGTGATAAAACCAAATTGTCTTGTGCTATCTCCCACCAATGCAGCATAACAGCACACACTCTATTCATATTTTCAGATAAGCTGAATCAATCAGGAAAACCTAAAAATTCCATGACTCATACCAAATGAATGGTGTATGAAAAAAGCTCACCTAAAAGTTTGTCCTGTGAATTTGTTTCACCTTCAAACTCTAAGAATTCTTGTCCAACTTCATCACTGTCTGCATTTGTAACACTGGTTGACAGTGGATTCAGTCCATTGCTTTCCTGAACTGAAACTTCTTCCTCTCTCCTACCATCTCTCTGAGCAAAGCCCTCTGAGCTTTCAGTCTCTGTAAATTGAAAATATTAATGAGTAAGCCAAAATTAAAAGTACAAGTCATTACTCTCTGCCTGGATATTTTTTGCCAATTTCTAATTTTCATTTTATTATTTAGTGGATTACACTAGGATCAGGGAAACTGCTTGAAGTCTTGTTTGAAGTCACATTGTCAATGCAACTCAGCTGATAAAACCTTAAACCCCCTGCCTTTCCAATGCAGCACCACAGTTTCTTTAGAAACTAATACTTCCTCCATTTATTCTATGACTTTGTACAGTGAAAAGACATGCAGTTTAGATTACATGTGTAAGGAATATTATACGATGAATATATGAAGTTCATATATTTTGAACTGCGGTTATAGATACGTATGATGCACGATCCTCACAGTAGAGAGCGCTATTTATGCAATAGCGAAAATCAGAATAATAAATAGCGCTCTCTACTGCGAGGATCGTGCATCATACATATCTATAACCACAGTTCAAAATATATGAACTTCATATATTCATCGTATCTTATTTATCATCATGGGTTTATTACGAATCAACTTAATGGCCTGCTCACAGTTGGCTTGTTAGCTCAATTGGTAGAGCGCTGCACTAGTATCGCAGAGGTCAGTGGTTCGAATCCCGTACAGGCCTGATTTTTTTCAGGTCTGATTTTTGCTATTGCATAAATAGTGCTCTCTACTGTGAGGATCGTGCATCATATGTAAGGAATATTATTAAAAACTGGATCATTGGATAATGCAATTCAAGACTTTTTATTGGCTTAGTCATTATGGTATATGAGCCAATATACCATAATCTACAAATATGGTAAGCGTACGCGTCAGTTTAAAATTAAAAGGGAGCTAAAAAATCCGTTTCTTCTCACAAAACAATAATTTCTTGAGGGTGTTTTTAATAAAACAATTATTCCACTCGTGCTTGTTGGATATGAGATGATTATAGCCAACCCGGCACTACGCGCCTCATTGGCTATCCATCATCTCATATCCAACGTGCACTCGTGGAATAATTGTTAATTAACTGCTACCTTCAACCTCCTTATGATTAATGTCCTCAGTTTCATCAAATGACAGTTCTTGCATATGATCATTAACATTAGCCATTTCAACCTGTTCATTTGTCTCATTCAGCTGTGGCAACTGAGTTTTACTTCCCTGTGCCCTGGGAGAAGAACAGTAATGGAAACAAAACTTTTAATAAGATTTATGTATTAGCGCTGGTAAAAAGCACGGCCAAACCATTGTGGCATTTTTTACAGAATTGTATAGTATCAGATGCCTTTTCATTGCCATGTAGACCATTGTGTATTCGACTCATTTCCAAAGTGTAACATTGTTGTCTGCTCTATTTAGTGTTGACATGAATAAAACAGGCAAACCTTAATTTAGAAATGTCATGTCATGTATTCTTCTATGTCATTGGTTTATTGAGGAACTCAGTTCCTAAAGAGCAAAGTCCTTATTACAAACCAAATCTGATTGGTTGACACAGGAAGTTAGTTCCAAGAGATCTGATTAAAAATGCATTTGAGATCTGATTGGCTCATTCAGGAACTAAGATACCTGAAATGTCAAGTACATTTTAAAATGGTGAAGTACATTTTTAAATGGGGATGTGTTTTATGAGATCATGGCAATTATGCAACATGATGAATTGTTTATCCTTCCCTAATGAGGGGGTGGTCTTACTAAAGATCACAACAAAAGAAACAACCCATCCTGTGGCTTGAACTTAGATCTTGCCAAAAGACCAATCTAGCAAGCTAAACCCTAACCATGTGTCCCCAGTACAGCAAAATAGTTATCAATAATTATAAATAGTTAATCTGTCAACACTAATTTAATAATTATTAATAATGATGTACAAACCACAACTGGTCTAGGTAGACATGTTCAATCTTCACTCCTTTTCCTCGCAAACCATCCTCTAATAAGTCCTTACTTGACACTAATGTTGTTCCAACAGCTACAGGAGCTCTAGCATGAAGCAAAATGCATCCTTCAGGAATAAAGACTAATTTCTAGCTTTTAAATTCACTATGCCACATTTGATTACATTTGTTGATAAAATTTTTCAAATTCTGGCCAAAAAAGTTAGCTTAGACATCACAACATCACTTAATCCTTTACACCCTAACATCAGTATGTAACTATATTCTCCATACTGTTCCCTATGCTTTTCCTCTGGCACTGACAGGGAGAATTTGGTTAACAATCAGGAGTTTCTTGTCTTAATGTTTGAGTCTGGGTATGACACTATTGGAAGAAATTACACTTTTATCACTCCTAAGGGTCAATGGTTTAAATACTCAGTCTCAAATATTTCATTTGGTTTGAAAATAAAAAGGACAGCTCTACCTGTTACCCTTGAGACATACACTGCAAAGTGTACCTCTCTCAAATCTTCCCAGAGCTGAGAGCCCCTCACATGGCAGGATCACACCAGGAAGCATTAGGTCTGGAAAGAGGAAGACACATTGGAATCATAAGAAAATAGACAAAAATGATCAAAGCATCTTTACATTTTCCATGGGCGCCATTATGGGTGGCCTGGTAATATGCGATCCTAGCACACTCTTATTCCCCTCAATTTTGTCTGAGTGTAGAATTGCGTTGTGATCAGTCACACTGCAAATCATTTTATCACAAGTTAATAGGTTTTGTTTGCTCATGATGTCATTGATTTTAACTTGATTTGCAGGTTTTACACCATTCTCAAGGTCGTGAGCTTTCACGTAATTCATTATGGTCGACTGGACACCAGCATGATTTATAATATCATTTTTCCTAAAACAAAAAGATATGTGAGGAAAGATCCAATACCAGATACTTTGCCGACACAAATAAGTAATTTTTAAAGACCTTCTTCTTTCGGTGGGTTTGTGTCACGTTCATGGAAAAATGCTGAGGAAGATCTACTGGATTTCTACCTGCTATTGTCCTGGATTTGCAGATTTTACACCATTCGCAAATGTATATATATATAAATATATCTAATTTTATCTATCTTCAGATATGCCACGCTCTGCAAATGTATTGAGCACTCTACCGCAAGGATAGACTATAACCAAGATTTATATAATTATATATATATATATATATANGGTAAGTTTCTAAAGAAACTGTGGTGCTGTGTTAGTGGGGGTAACAAGGTAATTAAGTAAAATCAACTAAGTTGAAATTGTAAATTGGTCACCATAAAGAGTTAAAAAGCTGACGTTTCGAGTGTTAACCCTTTGTCATTCGCTCTGACGAAGGGCTAATGCTTGAAACAGACAGCTTTTTAACTCTTTACGCTGGCCAATTTACAATTTCAACTTAGTTGATATTACTGAATAATAAACAGACATAAACATAAGAAAAAATATTACACTGACTATCAGTGTGGTTATTAATTGTAGTTTAGATTACCACGCATATCATACCCACCTGTTGGGAAAACTTTCTTTTCAACTTCAAAGAATATTGGTTCTCCACTGAGACAAAAAACTGTAACATTCTGTCCTTAATGTGTCATGAGACGCATCACTGAAATTTCTTCTTTGTTTGGAATAATTTCAGTGATTTCATCTTGTGATAAATTGGGAAAAGCCTTGCTAACATCTGATCTAAGTTTCCGCCTGTAAATCAATAAACAGTACCAACATACACCTTTACGTCTTAACATTAGAATGTAAATTCTCTACACTGTTTTGTATACATTCCCTAAGCTGCCGACAAGGATAATTTGTTTATCAATCAAAAGCCTTTTTCATTGGTGATTATTTCCTGTATTCTTGTGACTGTTATGTTTGATTTAGGGGTGATATTGTGAGGAAAAAATTATATGCGATTCACTCTTAGGTTAAAACATTAAAATCAAGCAACAAACTTAATGTAGAAGGGTGTATTGGTGCGAAGAGGACATCTCAAGGTCTTTTTTGCTTCATACCTGTTCATAACTATCAACTCATTTAGGAAAATTTTAGACAGAATCACAACATTCTTTTAGTTAAAAAAGGATTCTATGACTCTCTGAATATTTCTTAAGGCGTAGAGATTTAAATAATCACCCATAATTTACTCTTCTTTTCATGATATTGGATAAATTTCATCTACCATTGAATGGTAGTACGACATCGTAAAAGATATCCATTTTCTTTTGGCTCATAATATGTCACTTACCGATCGGATCCGCGAATAGAAGTATTAGATTTCACTCGAAAAGGCTTCTGAAACATTTCTTTATTCTTAAGTCAGTAACCTTCCATGTGTGCAAAAAAATTAAAACTGCTGATTCAAGTTTATTCCGCCATGTTGAACTCAGCGCGTAGACTGGCACTATATAGTTACCAGATCCCCATCGCCCCAGTCTTGCAGCACCCCGGATGTAATGTGAAGAGCGTCAAAGCAACAACATCAGGGCAGCCGTTTACATTTTGAAATTTCTATTTCAAAAGAACTCACGTGTGGCTATATATTTCTCACACGTTTGGTTATCTGCCTCAATTCCACTGCGTTTCAAAACCTTTGGTTACTTTTCACGGTGAAAAGCGAGCACAAGACAAAGGAAAGCGCATGGTTCGTCTGAAATGCCAGGTTTACTCTGCTGGAAGACATGAACTGAAATGATTTTTCGCTTCCTTCGAAATTCCATGGGTTCATTTTGAAGCAAGAGAGTAGTGAAAGTGATGCTGCTTTGGCTGTAGTGCCATTTACCTTCTTTGGAATCTAGAAGGAGAGATTACAGTGTACTGCTGCTAAAAGACTCTCGATATTTAACTTTGAATTGTCCAGGCCGGTTTATGTTTTGTCTTTAAAATTAGCTGGCTGAACTTATCATTATCAGCCTTGTTTTGAGCTCAGAACAACAGCATTTAAGTCATTGTTACGGCTGCATTTCAACAAGTGAAAGTGTGGTTCAAACATTTGTGTTCCGGATTTGTTGGCAATCCATCCTGGACCGGAGCTTCCGAATTGATCATTCAACTTTCAATGTGCATTTTCAGTCTTATGAACAACTTGCAAAGTGAAAACGATTGATTTTTCGTAGAAGGCCTAGCACTTCGACAAACTGAAGACAACCCTTGAATTTCAAAGCACGTGTACACATCGAAAACAGCTGAAAATGGACCCAGGGTATGAAAGAAGACTTCTACGTCAACCCAATGGACGTAGTCCTCTTGCTAATTCTGTAAGTAAGAACCTAGGTTTAAGTATTAAACTTATAAATGCTCTTTGCTTAGATGGTTTTGGCATCAGGAGGTTTGCACAAGTTTCTACACTGTGGATGTTGCCTTTCTATGTTATTATGCTTTTGATGTTGTCATACATGTTATTATCATTTTACTATTACAGCTTGGGGTCATCCTTGTACTTTATTTTTATGTAATCTCCAAAGACTGACATAAATGTCCTCTATTCAAGTGTTGGTAGTTTATGACATGAAAGAATGCTGTCCTGTAATTTTGGGATCTTGAAGGGATCAAATTTTGATTATCTTACCATTTTCTTTGTTATATTTTATAGCCATGTTTGAGTGGAATGATGCATTTCAGTTCACCTCATCTTAGCCCACTGAGCTCTCCCAGTAGAGAAAAATATGGAGACAGGTCAGGAAAGTGTCATGAAAATTGGTCACTTTAACTTCAGTTCACTTTTGAAACATTCCTTTAAATCCTTCACATTCGGTATGATTTGCATTCTTACTTAAAAAGTGTTTAACTTGATTTCCTTTCACCAGGTTTATACCAAGCCGCACTAGTCCAGCACTTGAGCTTAATTTTAATTTAATACAAGTAAGTATACAGTTCTTGAGATTGTGTCATTTTAGCTTGGATGCATGCAGCCTCGTATATATGTAAGAAAAGTATTTGACTTGCCTTTCAACTTGTTGCTAAGAACAGCTTCAAGGATCATAGACAGTGATAACTGTATTCCTTTACTAGAATGGAGATCCTCTTTGTATTAAATGGTACTGTTTTAATTTCTCCCCAAAACTTTATTTCATGATCACTTGATAAAATAGCTCAGTGTTTACCACCAAACTTAGATGAAGATAATAGTACAGTTGAACCTGTGTAAGTGGCATTGTATGAAGTAGTCACCCCATATCAAGCTGTCAGTTGTCAAAATCCTGACAGAATTTTTTTTCCCTTAGTCACGAATTTTAATGTCTATTAACTGGTCACCTCTCTTTGGCAGTCGGAATCACATTTTACTAGGTACCAACAGCCTGTTTTTATTGTACTTCCCCTGCATTGAACGGTCACTGAGAGCAGAACCATTCAATAAAACTAAGAATAATTGTAATCTTTTAGGTAATTCAGGGCTTGACACTAACTTTTCAACTTACTGGCCAAGTGGCTAGTGACATCTTAGATGTTTTTGATGTTACAACAATTTCTGTCCGTTTACTAGCCAAATTGGCTAGTGGAAATTGAAAACCACTAGCCAAAACTGAATTTCGACTAGTCTGTGGCTAGTGGGCTACCATTAGTGTTGAGCCCTGTAACTTTTAATGCATGTTTCCCCTTACTTCAAAGTAAGTAGTATTTTCAAGTGAGATTCTTTATATTAAGTGGTCAATTATGGTATAAAGTCCTACTGTTCACTGTTTTTTATAATGCCCCTAATCCATGGAACCTGCATTAAGCAGTCAGCCCACTATTCTCCATGGGTGACCACTTAATCAGGTTTGACCGTAATAGTGTTGTTAATTGTTCATTTTTGAAAATCATCTCAGGAAAATAGTGATCCAGCAAAGAACAGTGCAGTCACAAGGTAAGGTAAAACATTCAATGGGTTGCTGGAATATAATTTTGTTGAAATTTTGCAGCTTCCACCTACTTCATTTTTCTCCCGATGTTTTTCAAACATTTATTAAATGATACCTCTTGTACACTAAAAACTACAAAATTCAATGATGAAAATTTTTCTCTCTTTCAGAGATGCCAGCGTGGATTCCAAAGGTATAAATTCCAAAATATGAATAGATTTGTCATTTGTCCATCGGTCATGCAAATGAATCTGTCAGACTCGGGCAAGTGTGTTGATATATCGTGTATTCCCATAGACCACTTTCATAAATGGCTGCCATATAAATATTCTTTTGTTTAAATTTAAATTAGCCCTACTGGCCTCGCTTGAAATAATGTATTATTTTGAATTTTGTACTAGAGAACGAGGCCAGTAGGGCTTAAATTTAAACAAAAGAATATTAATCTGGCAGCCATTAATTTTATGAAAGTGGTCTATGGAAAAGGAAATCATTATTGACTTACGCATTCAAATCTCTGCGTTTCAGAGGGAATGGCATACCAGTGCCTGCTAAAGAATGAACTTCTTGGTGCCGGAATAGAGGACCTAAAGGTGACCTAGATGTATTTGCAGTTCTTTACAGGTTTTTTTGTTATATTTATTTATCTGATCAGTGTGTACACTTAAGAAAGAGGATTTGACTTGTATTGTTAGTACAGTACACTGTATATTTATGGGTTTCAAAATTATCCTTTCGTGGGAGTTAATTGGGAATGGACAGTAAGTTATAAAATTATGTTACTGAGAAATGCCTTCCATTTTCTAAAACTTTTTTTCTTTTTGCCACTTACAAAAGTGTTCTAAAAACAGGTGATGACCTTTTTAAAATTTGATTTCAGGATGTACCACAAGAGGAAAGGAAAGCACTTTCAAGCAACAGTAATCACATACATAGTATATTCCAGGTTTGAAAATTCTCTTCAACACTTTGTGCACAAAAATAAATCATATTTTGTACATGACTCGGATAAGTGTGTTTCTCTGTTGTCAGTGATTATTTACTTTGGGAAAGTTCAGCAGTCCACTGTAGACAGCAGAGTTTGAATGCTTCTCAGTTTTAGGTTAATTCTAATAAGTGACTACTTTTACAAATAGGACACCTTCCCACATTGACTTTGTCAGTTTTCTTTTCTCTCTAGTACCAAGTGAAAAGAAGTAAACAAGATGATACAGAATCAGTGGCGTCCTATTCACTGTCACCTGTAGGAAAGAAAAGGTAACAAACACACTTGCTTACCTTTAAATATCTAAATTTCATGTGTACTTAATCATGATAGATGTAGGTGATAACTAGTACATGTAGTTTGCTGAGCCTGTGCATGTTTATACAAAGTGTGCATGTTTGCACAAAACAGACTGAAATCTATTTAAATAGCTAATATTAGAGGGTGCTAAATAATTTCAGAAGGAAACTTTTTGGCTACTCTAACATTTTGTCTTGTTGATGTCATGAATTATAGTTTTATAACTGAATGTACCCTTTTGTTTATCCCTTCCAGTCAAAGACTGTTAAGATCACCAAGAAAGGTCAGTTTAATACATTTTTTCCTTAATGGTGCTTTCAAACTGTACATGATGTGTAGCTGTTTACTTGATGATTTTGTCAAAAGATTTTTTCCTCATCTATTACCCTTTGACTCCTAAAAGTTACCCAGCATCTAATTTCTCCTTACTATGTCCCCCCTGAATCACACATGAAGGTCACGAGAAAAAAGGGAATGGTCACCAACTAAAGAAGCTCTTGATTGTTTAACAAATTCTCATTGTCGGCACCTTGGGAAGAGTTTAGAGAACAGTAAAGAGAATATACATATATCTTATTAACCAAGTGCGAGGGCCGTACTGGGAGAATATCGACCCGAGGTCTTGAAAGTACAGACCGAGCGCAGTGAGGTCCGTACAAAAAAGACAGAGGGCCAATATTCTTCCAGTACGGTCCCAAGCAAGCTTGGTTAATAAGAGATTTATTATACGAGTGAAGTTCAAAGGGACATAAGTGCGGTATCATTCAGGACAGTGCCCTGTCCAATACTGAGAGAATATTGACCAGCAATAGAGCATTTTGATTGGTTGATTTTAGTTATTGGCCCTCTGACTTCCCGAGTCGTGTAATAAATACTGATATTAGGGTGTCAAGTGCTAAATCAGCAAAGTTTGATAGATACTTTGTAATGCTGGGAAACAATTCTCATTAAGAAAATTCAATGAGAGTTTGTATTCTTTTGTTTTTGTAGTCTACAAGAAAAATTTCCAAGATACCATTTAAAGTGTTAGATGCTCCAGAACTACAGGTTGGTTCAATCTATGTCTGACAGTGAGTGCAGTGTTATCTTGAAGCCTAATATGTTTCCAAACAAAACTTACAAGAGACAAAAATATAATTGATATTCATGGCAATGAACTGTGATAAATTATTTATCTTTCATACTTTGAAAGCTGACATGCCTGTTAGTGTGTACACCTACATTAAGTGTTTTCATCTTCTATACTGAGCTGTGTGTTGAATACTTTTGATAATCATGCAAAAAATGCTCTATTTACATCCCTTTGGCTTGAATTTTAAAATTAAATTGGTCAATTGCTTACTTTCTTTTTCTTTTCTCTCTTTTTTTCTCATTTCTCTATAATTGTGTTTGTGTATCTTAGGATGACTTTTATCTCAATCTTGTGGATTGGTCAGGACAGAATATTTTAAGTGTTGGCTTAGGAACTTGTGTTTATCTGTGGAGTGCCTGTACCAGTCAGGTATGGCAGTTTGTTTCTGTGGATGTTTTTGAAGGCCAGGTATTGTCATAAGGAAAGTAAAAACAGCATAGCTGCAATATTGCTAACTAAAGGTTAAAATTTTGAAACACTGTCAGCAACTCTGAGGAGACAAAATGATGTATTACAAAACAAAATTATTTTCTGTAATTTCTCCACAGGTTACCAAACTCTGTGACCTTGCATCTGATGGGGACTCTGTGACATCTGTATCTTGGTCAGAAAGGGTAAAGTGTGAAGTCAACTTTTCTTTTAATCAAATCACATTGTACCTTACACTATCAATTTTCAATTCTGTTTTTTTTTCTTTGTGCATATAGTTACTATCAAATGTTAGATGAAAAATCAAGGATAATGGAATGAAGAGTCTTGATGCCAGATCACTGAACCAAAACATAAGAATTTATACATGACTGAGAGTTGATTATGTTTGTTCATTGGCTTGTTTGTTTACTTGCAGAGTGGTCTGGTAGCTGTTGGAACTCACAAAGGCCTTGTTCAAATCTGGGATGCAGGTGCACAAAAGAGAGTGTCTACTATAGAGGGTCATACTGCTAGAGTTGGTAAGCAGGCCAAATTTACAGTCAGTATCATTCTCAGATCAGCCACATGTAGCTGAAACCAACTGAGGAAAATGAGGATGACACTGTACAGCAGGAAAATTCAGTCTTAGCAAGTAAATGCTTTTAAGTGTTGCAAAAAATTGCAACTATTCAACTGAGAACTTTTGAGATTTAAATTATGACCATTGCATTCTGGAATTTTTTTCATTAGATTGATGTAAGTGGTGCAGAGGAAAAAGACCAAAATCTGCCAAGTTTTTCTTGCTATTGTTGAATTAAAATATAATGTACTAAATTGCTGAATATGTTATGTGGTACTATAATAAGCAATGTTTCTTATCAATTCTTTTCCTTATCTCAGGTGCTCTGGCGTGGAATGGTGATGTGCTCTCATCAGGGAGTAGGGACAGGCTGATTCTACAGCGTGATGCTAGAACACCTAATGCAGTTGAGAGAAGATTGATTGGACACAGGCAAGAGGTAAGTGAATCTCCCGAAATAACCAAAACAAATTGAAGTTGAAGTT